ACTATTGAATATTGTTTATCAAAATTACTTTATTGTTGAATACCATTGCATCCATCAAATCCTCGTTCGCCTAACTCTCCCTCCAGTCCCGGCAATCCCTGTATTATGCATTTGTGTCAATAAAATTATAACAAATTAACTCAAGTCATGCTAACCGGTATTCCTGGGGGACCATTAAACCCAGGTGCTCCTATATCACCTCTGATTCCTATTTAAGTATAACATAAAATTAATAGTAATAGTTAACAAGCACAAATGAACAAGGAAAATTGACTGACCTTTTGGTCCAATTTGCCCGAAGTCTCCCTCATCACCTCTAAGACCAATAGGACCGGGCGGACCTTCTAGTCCTATTGGTCCAGGTATTCCTTGAGATCCTTGTAAACCAGGTATTCCTGGATATCCCTAAATATGTGAGTTTTAAATAAAATAAAATAAATATGAGATACAATAAAATTAAGACAAAGCTACTGTATGGTCGAGAATGTTATAATGGTATGACTATCAGACATCAACCATACATAACACGTATTTCATTCAAAGTCTACAATAAGACTGACTAACAATACATTACAAGAGTATTTCTTATATCTGTATACAAAATATAAATTCAGGTACAATAAGTTAGGTATTCTGACTATGGGAAAGTACTTACAAATAATAATACAAATATAACTTTTAAAATAACAATGAGTTAAAAACTGTATTATTTGTAACAAAATTAAAACTCATGTTTTATTAATGCAAAGGATGGGACATGTAATATAGTGGTCGAAAATGGCTCCTGGATATAAAACTTATTTCACATTTTATTATATAAATAATATAACTTAATATATTTTTTGAAGTTACCGGTATTACTAATTTAATATTTTTTAATTAGTTAAAATTTAAAATTATCTTTTTTAAGATTTAAATTTTACTAAAAAATTAATTATAAATAATTTTGATTAAACTTAAAGATAAATTATAAAATATAAAGAATATTCCGACAATTATAATTTTTAATTTAACGATAACTTATTTTTTTATTTAAAAATAAAATAAATTCTTTATTATTTTATAAAATGAGAAATAAAAATACACTTTTTTGTACTCTTGTAATGTTTCTTAAAAACTAATTCTATTCAAAATGTCGCCCTTTTTGTCAACTAATAATTTAAAATTATTTTTTAAATGTAGATTTGAAACTCTAGCCTTAATATATCAACACTTTTGTCAACTCTAAGACAACCGCAAAATTTGTTTATCTTTTTAGTGTATTTCTAAACTTTGTTTTAAAAATCTATTTTAAGACTTCCACTAAACTAAACTAAACTAAATTCCTACATAATATAATTTGCTTTATTATTATTATTATAATTTCGAAAAATCATATGGATAGTAACTTATTATGAGTTTAATATAATAAAACTTGAGTTTATTTCTAAAATTATTATTTATTTCAATTTTTAAATTTATATTAAATTCATATAAAATAACATACTGGAGTTCCCGGTTCCCCGATGCAAAAACAGGGTTG